AACTGCGAACTATTTTCAAACAATTCACTAACTATTTCCCCTGAGCAAATGTACATATCAGATTAAAGTTAGTGATAATAAAAAGAAAAGCTAATAGATTAACAAAACAGCTTAATGTTCATGATGCAGAGAACTACAACTAGTGTTTATGACAAGGCTATTTGTGAACAAAAGAGTTGGGATGCAGTACGCAATTGACAATGCTACTGTAGAAATATAAAGTGCATTGCCAGTGCGAGAAATTGAAACATTGAACTTGACAGAAAGAAGCTAGTGTTTTGACAAGTACAGTTTCAAGTTTTGGTGAACTGAAAAGTATAGTATCTCAAATGTCTCACAATTATCTGTGTTAGCTTGCAAATTGTCACTTGAACTTGACCCCAACTTTCAAAAACCAAAAATATTTTACTTTTTAAACATTGTTAAAAACAATGACATAAAACTGCGTAAATGACAATAATAAAAAATTTAACTCTTTTTACATTTTCGTTTTCTTTGGGAATAAACTTTAGTTTCAACTACATCGTTCCCCTGCTGACATTTTCAACTGTCCTCTCTACATGAAAATTCCACTTCACCAGATTATCAGCCGATTAGCAGTGCACTTTAGCAGTGCGGCTTAGCAAAACTCTAACTTTCTCGTCAACAAACACTTTCCGCCACTGACGCCACTGGGGAAATAGTGCTGCGACAGTCAGCTCTTGGATTCGCGCCGGTCGACGGTGAGCTATTCATCCGCGTGAGGAAAACTCAGTCAGCAGTGTCTCCTCACACACTGTCTCGGCAGCACGCCAGCCATTCATCATTACACTCATTCACAGTTTTGGTCTTTTCTCAGTTTTTCATCATCTTCTACTTTAGGATTCTGTTCTTTTAATATCAAGAAGCCAGAGAAGCCCTTTCTTTTGAAGCCTTTCTTTTTGCTTAAACGGCTACCGGAATAACCAGTGTCGATGGTTGAGTGCACTGCTGCACAAGACTAGTGCGCTCAACTTACCGCAGCCGCAGCAGCAACAGCATCACTCAACAACAAATCAGTGACTAAGCAACACTGAACATAATTACCACGACATCTTTCAGCTACTTTTCGTTTTCAGACGCTAAAACAATTTCCAATTCTCATCGTTCTCTCCATTCTCCACTCGAGATTCGCTCGCGCGATGATTCCTCAAAAGTTTGCCGTTTCAGTTGTTTGTCCGAAAAGCAATGTAAACGGCTCGCTAATTGCCAGAAAAGAATCGTATTTCTGTTTCTTCACTGCGCCTCTTTATCTGCTCAGCATCCTAATCCTGCTGTCAGTATGCCTACTGCCAATTGCTCATGGTAAGTCAAAATACTCTTGAGCCGCTTAAAAAAATTGCTAAGTAACAGATTTAGAAATCTTTAGTCCTAATGAGTTTCATGAATTGTCTTAAATAGGAAAAATCTTTCAAAGAGTATAATTTCTCTTCTTTCATGCGACAGAGTTTTGTTTTTCGCTAAAATATAGTAATAGGCTATTTTTGCTTAAAAAGTTGTATTTTGCTCGAAAAATGTATTTACGTCAATTAGTCTCATGACGAGAAGTGCTACTACTCGATGAAAGAAATTCCCACTTGTAAAAATAAAAATACATACTGCCAACTTGCAAAAAATAATTTAATCAATCAAGTAAAGATCAGCAATTTGACAACAAAGCAAACATATCTGTAGTTATTGATTGTGTGAAGCAGCACTTAATTATCATTACAGTTAAACTTATAATTAAATTACTTCTGTTTGTCAGCTGACGGCGTTTGCAGCATTGCAGAATTTCAATGCAGTTCAAGTAATGAATGCATTCCACTTTCGCAGCAATGCGACGGCTTATCGGATTGCCCAAACAACGAGGATGAACTTAATTGTCGTAAGTGATCGCGTTTTTGTTACTAACACAAAACATGATAGTTTGTTTATCAGAAATGAGACAATAGTTGCCTAATTGAAAACTTTGTTTATGATACCAGCAAACAAAGAATGCACTGCAGATGAGTTTGATTGCGGCGGAGGCAAACAGTGCATTCTTCGAGGATTTGTGTGCGACAATGTCAAAGACTGTGAAAACAATAGAGACGAAGAGAACTGTGGTAAGTGCAATAGATATGCCACAAGTGCATAAAAACTAAAAAATTGTATTTTTGTTTAATCAGTGATTGCCTGTCCGGCTCATCAGTTCAAGTGCCAGGATTCCTCAATGTGCATTGACAAAGTGCAGGTGTGCGATGAGCGTTGTTCTTGTTCTGATTGTTCGGATGAAGGACACTTTGCTTGTGGTAAGTAAGTTTTACATTTGTTCACATTAAAATTAAATTTACCCGTGTCACAGCTTTTTATGTGGAACACTGCAACAAAAATGAGTTCAACTGCAGCAATGGTCATTGTGTTGATGCATCGCTGACATGCAACGGCATAGACAACTGTGAGTATAGTGGAAGACTTTCTTGTCAAATTTTTAACTTTTTATGGTAAAAACAGGTGGTGATAACTCAGATGAGCTGTTGCTTTCTTGCGAAACGTGCAACAGTGAGAACGGTGATGAAAACTGTGACACCAAGAAGTCAACGAGATGCAGTGCAGGACAGTTTGAGTGTCACAATCAGCTCGAATGCATTCCAGCGCAATGGGTGTGCGACAAAAAAGGTAGACAATACATTTAATACACATTTTCTCTAACACAAAACCCTCTTTTTGCAGATCACTGTTCTGATAAGTCAGATGAACTCGACTGCCCTGAGATTGAGTCGCCTGCTCAGCCACAGCAGCAGCAAGTGGCCCTCAATGTAACTGACTGGGGTGAAAAGTGGTCAGTGGAGAACAGCTCTTCAAGCTTGCTGCAGATCTGCCAAGAAGGATACCATTTAGAGCCAGAACACAACACTTGTGAGGATATTGACGAGTAAGTCATGGTTAAGCAGCTGTTGAAAATAGTTGTAACTTTAACCTTTTTAATGTAGGTGCATCGACGACAACAGCCTCTGTTCTGGCCAAAAGTGTGTCAACACTGCCGGTAGCTTTAAATGCCATTGCAACGCTGGCTACTTCTTTACAGACAACCGCTTTTGCCTGCTCAACTCCAGTAAGCCCAATCTACTGCTGTACGGAAAGTCAAATCAGATGCAGCTCTTTCAGTGGACCCAAGAGCACGGCCAAAAACCAGCAGTGTACAGCCAAACGGAACTGCCCTTATTCCAAGCTTCCAACTCTTCGCTTATCTTTGATGTAAACGTCAGGGCCAACTACTATATTGCCTTGAACCAAATGGGACAGTGGTACATTAATCGACTGCTCAAAGATCGACCCGTTGACTGTCCAATGAAAGTTCCCAATGTTTTTGTCAATCTGCATAACTCTGCGTCTATCAAGCGAATCGCTCTCGACTGGATTCGCCATCTAGTTTACTACATCAATCTAATTGACAACAGAATTGAAGCACTGAAAATTGGAAAAATGTCCACGAGCTACCTCCTAGTAGACAGCAACATTGATTTGCCGCAAGATATTGCCGTCAATCCCATTGATGCCTGGTTTGTTTGGACCGATTTTGGATCGGTGAAAAATGCTCCCCGAATTGAACGATGCAATCAAGATGGTCGTGGCCGTAAAACACTATTTCAAGATAGCAATCATCTTTCTAGTCCGTCTTCCTTGACGATAGACTTTGCTACTGGCCGAATCTTTTGGGTTGATACCAGACTGCATTCCATCAGCTCAATCAACTTTAATGGCGCTGATCGACGAATGGTTTTCCAGTCAGATTACTTCCTATGGACACCGCTTGATTTAGACATACTCGACGACCGACTTTATTGGGCAGATGCCAACAAAAGTGCCGTCTTTACGATCAACAAGTTTGGCCTTCTGGAGGAGCATGACTCCACAGTGCAAACACTTTTCCACCAACAAGTATCGTCAATCACAATTGTGGACGACTCAAAACAACTCCAAATTGGAGCATTTAATGAATCAAAGTGCAGTTTATGTCCGTATTTTTGCGATCCTGAAAAAGAGTACCAATGTTTGTGTGCACTTGGACACGTTTTCATCAACGGGCAATGCCATAATGAAACCAAGTTTAATCAAGAACAAGGTAATGCTGTTTCAAAACAAAATCATAGTTTACAAAACTTTTTTTATGCAGATGATTCCAACTCTTGGTGGCTTTTCACTCCGAAAATGCTTAAATTTGAGTCCAAAAAGTGGTACATTGTTGCAGCAGTGGTCATTGCAGTGCTCTTTATCGCATTTGTTTCCCCCTACATCGTTCGCTTCTTTTGTTCTCTCAGGTATGATGAGGAAATAAGAAACTTGTTATAATAAATACAAAACATATTTTTTTGTAGTTCTCCTCGACAACGATACAGGTGGATTAAACTGAACAATTTGAAACATAGTCGTTCGACGGCAGTGCGAAAGTCTGTTGAACTTGGCGGAACTTTCCTGGCGACGGTTGCTGTCAATCGTAGAGATGATGTCTCCAGTGGCTACTCCTCCATTTCAGAGCGTCTTTCTGTCCAACAGGAGGCAACTGAAATTGTCGATGATTGCAATTCAGACTCCATTGGTGACTCTGAAGAGCAAGTGTACGCAGAAGCATAGTCAACTACTTAAACTTGCCATACTAAATCCCAAAGACACATTCTTAGTCGTTCTGGAAGTTACAAAGTCCAGAAGTGACAAAAATCTCGATGACTCTAGTCGAAAATCCCAACTTTTTGTTTGAACTTTATTGGATTATATGTGAAAAGATCCACTTAGAGTTTACCTACATTTTCTCACTTTTGTACATACAAACCCTGCAATGCTAAACAATAGCAATCTGATATGTTTTTAAATTTGATATATTTTTAATACAATTCCTCAGTAAAACACGTTTTTAATTTTCCAATATTTTAATATAGTTTATATTTAGTGTGAGGTGCTCAAAATTTACTCAAAAGAGTAAATTGTATGAATTAGTTGAGCTTCAAGTTCTAACTGAAAGATCACCCTGAAGAAGAATCGCCGGTAGACTTGGCAGATGTGCTTTTGCTTTCACTGCCACCTGACTTTCCGGAGAGACTTGAGCCGCCGCCAGTGCTGCTAGAACCGGAGGTGCTTCCACCGGCCAAGCTGCCACCCGAAACACCTCCTCCCGTCTTGCTGCCACCAGACATGCTCCCGCCAGTTTTACTGCCACCAGAAACACTTCCGCTTGCTGCGTTTGATCCTGAAACACTTCCGCCGGTCGAACTGGAGCCAGAGACGCTGCCACCACCACTTTTGCTTGAGCCAGCCATACTTGAGCCGGAAACACTTCCTCCTCCCGTCTTGCTGCCTCCAGTCATGCTTCCTCCACTTGGGCCTGAAGATCCCGAAATGCTGCCACCAGCTTTGCTTGAGCTGGCCATGCTGCCAGAAGTTCCTGAAGTGCTTCCTCCAGTCATACTTGAGCCGGACACACTTCCTCCTTCCGTCTTGCTGCCAGCAGACATACTGCCACCAGTCTTACTGGATCCAGAAACGCTTCCACCAGTTTTACTTGAGCTGGCCATGCCTCCACCCAAAGTGCTTCCACTTGCGCCTACACTTGAACCGGAAACACTTCCTCCTCCGGTCTTGCTGCCGCCAGACATACTGCCACCGGTTTTGCTAGAACCAGCCACACTTCCTCCACTGGTGCTTGATCCAGAAACACTTCCTCCCGTCTTGCTGCCACCAGACATGCTTCCACCGCTCTTGCTTGATTCGGAAGCACTGTCACCGCCTTTGCTGCCGCCCGACATGCTACCACCGGCTTTGCTGGAACCAGTCACATTTCCTCCACTGGCGCTTGATCCTGAGACGCTGCCACCAGTTTTGCTTGAACTGGCCATGCTTCCACTGGAAACACTTCCTCCCGTTTTGCTGCCACCAGATATACTTCCACCGGCCTTACTGGAACCAGTTACACTTCCTCCACTGGCGCTCGATCCTGAGACATTTTCCCCAGTTTTGCTTGAGCTGGCCATGCTTCCGCCCGAAGTGCTTCCACCAGCCATACTTGAACCAGAAACACTTCCGCCAGTTTTGCTTCCCCCGCCCATGCTTGTTCCCGAAACGCTTCCTCCCGTTTTACTGCCGCCAGACATACTGCCACCAGTCTTGCTGCCATCAGAAATACTTCCGCCAGCCGTTGATGAGCCGGAAACGCTGCCGCCGGTTTTACTGCTACCAGACATGTTTCCACCAGCTTTGCTTGAACCAGTAACACTTCCGCCAGTCGTACTTGAACCAGAAAGATTTTCTCCCGTTTTGCTGGCTCCTGAAACGCTGCCACCAGTTTTACTAGAGCTGGCCATGCTTCCACCGTTCTTGCTTGATTCTGAAGCACTGTCTCCAGCTTTGCTGCCTCCAGTTTTGCTTCCCCCGCCCATGCTTGTTCCCGAAACACTTCCTCTCGCTTTGCTGCCGCCAGACATGCTTCCACCAGTCTTGCTGGCATTTATCATACTGCCTTTCTCCAGTGATCCTGAAACACTGCTTCCTGTTTTGCACCAGCAACGTCCAATTTTAGTGTCAGAAGCTTTCTTGCCATNCTTCCACCGTTCTTGCTTGATTCTGAAGCACTGTCTCCAGCTTTGCTGCCGCCAGAAATGCTTCCACCAGCCTTACTGGAACCGGAAACACTACCACCAGCTTTGCTGCCACCAGAAACACTGCCACCAGTTTTACTAGAACTTGCCATGCTTCCGCCGCCCTTGCTTGATNTTTCGGGACTTACCCGAAGCACCTTTGGGGACAGCTCCAGCTGACTTTGAGGCTCCTATAAGGCACAAAACGTCAGTATCATTTCCTCAAACTACTATTCAAACGACTAACCTGAAGACACAGTGGCTTTTGATCCCAAAGATTTGCCAGAAATTTTGTTTCCACTAGCATCTAAAATGAAAAGTGATTCGTTAGCAAATCATTCCGCAGCTATTGAACAGACACCTTAATTTACCTCCTTTGGCAATCACCAGTGGTTGTTTGACAAGCTTCGAAGATTTAAGACTGGGGTCATGCTTACTTGACACATTGTCTTTCTGGTTCTGGTTAAGCATCTAAAATGAATTGGCAGTCATTAGTGTTGCTTACTAAAAGCTATTTATTAAAAAGATTTACCATAGAATTAGCCTTCAGCCAAGGGTGATTTTCAACAAAGTCAAATGGCATTCGGTCGTTAGCATTGCCGCGAGTCAGCGCATAGATAAAGTCCTTGCAGTCATCGCTGAGTGGATTTTTCACAATGTTGTGCCATATTTCTTCGTCAATGTTTTCATACGGGTCGGTGACATTGTAAATGTACTGTTTGACAGGAAATTTTTAGTTAACGGGGGTATTATTACAAACTATTGCTGTGCTCTATCAGGCCATAACCAAACTGTTGAATTATTTTTTACCTGTTTGACGAGCATGAAGAAGATGCATGTTCCATACGACCATATATCCGCTAGAACAAAGTAAAAGAGCTCCAGATTAGAAAAGGCTGCTCAAAACTATCAGTGGCTCATACCTTGAATCGGATCAAACTGCTCCTTGCTTGGGTCTCCGTACACTTCGGGCGGTTGGAAGTTGGCACCGTCGGCGGCTTGGCGTTCCGATGGCCAGCACTGGCAGTAGGCGATGTCATTGCAGTTGGTGTCCCAGTAGATGATGGCCTGCTTGAAGCCAGTCAGCTTGCACCACACTTCACTACTCGACTGCGGCTGGATGACCAGGTGAGTCGGACTAAGATCACGGTGTGCAATGGCCTGGTCGCCGAGAAAGTCCAGTGCTCGGTAGATCTGCTTTGCCCAGACAGCAGCCTGACGTTCAGTCAGTGGCTGACTCTGCTCCATGTACTCCGCCAGGTTACCTACCCAACAGTCGATGTTTTGCATTTAGCATTGCTTTTTAAAAGTTAATCAGTACCTTTGTAAAAGCCTTCCTGGAACACGTAAACACTGGTGCCGTCATGGAACAACTCGTATGAGTGGACAATGTATGGATGTTTTCTGCCCAGGTGACGCAGAATTTTCAAGTACACCGAGGTGTTTGGATCAATGAACGACTTGGCGTAGACACGCACTGAGGTGTTATTAGAGACGGGACTCTTTGCTCCGTAGATGGTGACGTGTTCTCCCTTGTGAAGAATGGTGTCCTTCTTAATCTGGTACGTCTTGAAGAGTGATCCATACGCCTCCACTGGAAACGTGCTCATTGACTTGTTCATCTGGTTAACTTGAGCTCTCATGAGACTCTGAATGAAAAGCAGCTTCCGCTTGCTCATCTGCTGCTTGTAGCGGTCAGCCATCGTTGGATCGGCTTCCTTGTAGATGTCATTGCCTTTGTGCGTACTGCCAGGCATAGTCCGGGTGGTGCGAGTGCTCGTCGAGGGCTCATTCCCACCTCCAGTCGACTCTCGAACGCTAGACGCCATTGAGCGATTGAAAAAGGGCATCTTTTCGGTTAGGAGTGGAAAAGAACAGTTGAAGAATTTCAGTTGAGGTTTACTGCACAAACTGAAGTGAAAGTCAACGTGGCTTGCTTTTTTAACAATCCTAAAAGCTCTAACTTTCTAACAGTAAAATTCGAAAATTATCACTTGCAAAAAAGTACTAATCATTCATTTTCAACCAATCCTCTGTTTAAAGAGTTGCATGATTTAAAAAACTTGACCAACTAAATCAAAAAGCCTGCCAACTTAGTGATCAGAATTGAAATTCTGTAAGACATTTAGTTTTGAATGAGAAAAAGTGGATTCTATTTTTAGACATTCAGACAGATGTTTAAAAAGCACTGCTCTGTTGACTAAAATTACATTGCATCTCNGTTCCGGTCAAAAGGAGTTTAACCGTACAAAAAATTATAAAAATTTTTTTTGATTATTTTTTACTAAACTTTACTTGGTAAAATTAATTTNCTATTTTGGATTTCAATACAAGCTTTAGAAAACATGAATAAAAATCGCGTTTCACTCAACCAGTCAGCATCAACAGACCTTTTTCAAACTATCATCAAAGATAATATTTCGGAATTTCTAAAAATATGTTTCGAAAGAGAAATAACATCTGAACAACTGTCTAAATATCGTCGACATTGCGGCTACACATTATTAGGATTTGCAGTGACTCGTGGTTCTTTATCTATTGCCAGCTATCTGATTGACCANCGGTTCGGATTTTGTTGTAAAAAATATATGTTAAAGCCCTATTAAAATGAATAACAATCCGTTTTTTATTTTTTTAAAATTGNATGAAACACCCCTTCATACCGCTATTAGATATGGTACATTTTTGTTTTTATTTTACATTTTTAAATATCTTTTTAATCTCCTTTCTCATTTAGATCAATATAGCATTTGCGAAATGCTTCTCGAGTGTCCTAATTTAGATGTAAATTTTGATTATGGAGATCCTTACTTCACACCATTGCAGCACGCCTGGAAACGCATTTACAATTTCGATGTTGCCTGTACAATTGTAAAGAAAATTATCAGACATCCACAGTTCCACTATTCGCCTAGCAAACACATTCTATGTTATCGATACTGGCCAAGGGAAAATGCTGACAAGCAAAAGAATATGTTTAATTGGCTTATCAGTGCGGGCGTTCAGTTTGCTTCTGGGCAGAGTCCTAAGCTTTTCGAAGTTGAAAACCTGTTCAAACTATGCACATTATTAGATTCACAACCTACAGATGGACGACTTCGCAGGTCATCAACTTTAAAAGAACTCTGTCGGGATGTTATTGTCAGTAGATTGGTTAAATCAACTGGAAAAACTGTTACTGGCAAAACTCAACTTCAATCAATACTTCCACTTCCTGAAGAGTTGTGCACCTTTATGGCAAATAAGCCAGCCATTTTCACAAATATACATTACTGAAAATCAAAAGCGACTTTGTCTTTTACCATTATTGCAATTTTTTAATTTTGTTTGTACTTAACTACAAATTAAGTCTCTAAAAATAATTAAAAAAGTATCTATAAATTGAGTTCATGAAAAAATGACATTTTGAAATTCAATAATTACAGTATACACTACAAGTTGAAGCTAAAGTAAGAAAAGGTCCCGCTGGGAAATCACAAAAGATCTGTCAAATCGACTAATGCACTTGAATCCAATTGTCAACGTAGTTTGTGACCTGAAGTAACAATTGAAGATTCATTAGTTCAATGCAAAGACATCAGGTTTAACAGCTTACGATCACTGGGCAAAACTGCCGGCTCACGCTCCTCGAGGAGCACTTCATATGAGTCTTCTCGGTAACGATACCGCACAAAGAGTACCTTCTCTTGGCCGTAGTTGCAATCGAAAAATCCAGGCAAGTGGCACTTGGCTACATCACTAAAGGTCAGTGTTGAGTTCTCCGAGGTCATCACCGCCACAGCCACTGTCACATCGAAAGCATCCGCCTCGTCTGAGACGGGTCTTCCATCAGTGGCATACTGCTGCACCGCTACTCGTTCACCATAAATTGCCCGTTCAATGACCAGTCCATTGGAGGACACTTCGCGATCCACTGTACGCTTGTACGTTTCAGCCATTAATCGCCGGTACGTGGTTGCCTGTTTTCGCTGTTCATCAAGACGGCCGGCATGTTGTGCCTTCTCTTCTTCCAAGTCGGCAGCTTCCTTCTTTGCAATGTACGGATCAACAAAGAAACTCTTGATGAGGTAGAAACCGAGCAGTGGCAGTGCAGTTCCGTAAAAAACTGACGTCGGAAGAATCTCCTCAGAAAGGATGATGGGAAAGAGGTAATTTTGTTGATTTCGCACAAGCCTAAAAGAAAATACTTTAGCAAAAGTTTGGCACATGGTTATCACAACTTACTTTATTCTCAAAGTGACTCCGGTGAAAGAGCCAAGAGAAATGGCAGCTCCGAGGATACTGTGCTGAGAGACTCTCGCTTCACAGCCATACTCAAACATGGCTCCTTGCGTGCCAAGTTTAACTCCCAACTTTACTCGACCATCATGCATTTGAAACTTGTGCGTATAGCTACTGCTAATGTACGAGTTGCGAATTCCAAAGCTGATTGAGCTGTTTACTCGACACAGTTGATTCTCGTACACTACCACTGTAGAAAGGGAAGAGTCACCGCCTGCCTTCCAGCTGATGTAGCCAACAAAGTTCTTGCTAAACTGACGAGTGAGGACTGTGACAAGTCCAGGCCTGATTCCAAAAGGAGTCACGTGAACAAATGTTTGAGCGGTTGCGTGGATGTCTGAAGTCAGGGTGCGAAAGTACTTGCCAGAGATTACCGGCCCTTGACCGGCACCGAATTCAGCTTCAAACCAGCTTGAAGCTGTAATGGAAAATCAGCAAATTAAAGCTTGAAAATAAAAAGGAAAAACTTACGAGAGAAAACATGTCTCAAAGTGGTGGACACAGTGCCTGAGCCAACTCCGTTCCTTNAGCTTGAAGCTGTAATGGAAAATCAGCAAATTAAAGCTTGAAAATAAAAATGAAAAACTTACGAGAGAAAACATGTCTCAAAGTGGTGGACACAGTGCCTGAGCCAACTCCATTTCTCACATTGAGATTTCCACCAAGGATGATGCAATCTTCCGTAGTGATCGGCGCTTCAATCGTTTGTGAGATGGACATTGAGCGAACTTCTATGGCCGGCCAGAAGAAGCCACCTTCTTCTTCTTCGTCGTCCNAGTGCCTGAGCCAACTCCATTTCTCACATTGAGATTTCCACCAAGGATGACACAATCTTCCGTAGTGATAGGCGCTTCAATCGTTTGTGAGATGGACATTGAGCGAACTTCTATGGCCGGCCAGAAGAAGCCACCTTCTTCTTCCTCGTCGTCTTCGTCATAGTGCTCAAAGATGTCGGTTGCATCAATCAGAACTGTTACGTTGCCCTTTGGATTCGTCCGTTGTTGCATTCGCCTTTCTTCCTTTTCTTTCTTCATCTGTTCGTACTCCTCTTTAATCTCTGCCGCAGATCGGAACTTGCGCTCGACCAGAGCCCAGCATTCTCCTTCAACTCCAGAAGCACCAACCGTGTCGTACACTGCCCGCTTTTGAGGATCGCTGAGTACATCGTAGACCTTCTTCAAGCGATTAAACATCGCCTCTGCGGCGAGCTTCAACTGAGGATCGGAGTGTTTATCCGGGTGAAAACGCTTGCTGAGAAGCTTGTAAGCATTGCGAACTTCGTCAGTGGATGCCTGGTGAAATACATGAACCAACTTTGTAGCAACAAACAGCTAAATAAAGAAGGCACCTACCGTTTTGGAGACATTAAGGAAGGCGTAGTAGTCATCGTCGCAACTGTCACCTGGCAAATCATTCTCAGGCATTTTACTGTTCCAGAAAAACAAGTCAAAGGTTTGTTTTTATTTTCACCACCACAACAACTGATATAAGACTCTTGTTTTGTTTGCCAAATAGAATTGTCTTGTTACAATATGTTCGAGGATGTTATCGTCGAGAATAAATGATCGGAATCATGATGAAAGACACTAGTAAACAGTGGATAACACATTTGAACCGACCTCATCGCCCGCACCCGGTGCACGCTTGAAGATGCATTCGGAGAAGCTGTGCTGTGTTCAGAAGAAAACCTGCCACCGTCACTGCAAGTTGTTTTGATTCAAACTGCTTTTTGCAGTTTTTGTGATTCACAACTAATTTTATTATTTCGAAATGAGTTCTTGTTCAAAACTGGTCTAATAGTACATTGTTCATTGATCAAGGATGTAGATTTGTGGATAGTGAAGGTGTACTAACTACAGTTGAACGTAAGTGGGGTAATCAGGAAAGTGTCTGAATTTGACATTTGTATTTTACTTCTCCTTTAGATACTTAATTTCCCGCTACATTGCCAACTAGTTTGCCAGCCAGGGCATTGTCGATTTTGGTGCTGATTGTGGAGAGAATATACTCCAGTCTATCTACACGACGTGCCATCTTGCTAAAGTCAATGCCCGGAAGGGCATGTCGCATCATTGCATTGCCACCTCCACTAGGCACCTCCACGTCTGGCTTTTTCTGCTTGTTCTCCTCCATTTCCTTCTCAATTTGGTTCTTCTTCCCCTCGAGATCGCTGAACATTGCCTGCAACTCCTGCTCATCAAGTTCTCGGTTCTGGTCAATGTCGTACTTTGCAAAGAGCATTTCAATTTCAAGATCGCTCAAGTTCCGCTTCTTCAGCTCTTGGCGGACGGTTGCAAAGCTGAGACGGCGGCTACCATCAAAACCAGATTCCTTAAAGTTAAGAAAAAGTTTAGATTATTTGTGGTTCTCAGTTTGACTTTCACAAACCTTTATAGCCGCTTGAATGCCCTCAATCTGTTCCTTCTGCGCGCCCAGTTTTGTCAGCAGCTGGTTGGAGATACCCTTGAAGTAGTCCATCACGGCGAAATCATCAGTTTCATTAGACAACTCTGACTTTACTTCCGCATAGGTGTCATTGATGATGGCAAGGAACATGTTCTAAAGTTGTAAAGACAACGTCGCAGTGTTAGCGTTGAATTGCATCGACATTCTCTATACATCTCTTACCATCAGCACGAAGAATACAAAGAAAATGTAGCTGAGAAAGAAGATCGGTCCAAGCACTCGATTAGCTGATTCTAAAGCCTGAAAGTCAAAGTCGCCGAGAATCAATCGAAGAAGTGTAAATCTGAAAGAGTAGAAAAGGATAAGTTAATTACCGATTTTACCCAACTTTTGCCACACTTACACAGCCTTGCCAAAGGAGCTGTAGTCCTTGACTTGGGTGCCAAACAGCAAATAGCCCAACTGGGCAAAGGCGAAGAAGACGATGAAGAACATGACACCGAATCCAGCAATGTCTTTGGCGCACTATGGAGATGGAGAGAAAATGAATCAGGAACAGCAAATCAGTACTTTGCGGCGCACACTTACCCTGCTCAAAGTGGAGCTAAGCTGCGACATGGTCTTGTTGAAGCTGATGTACTTGAAGATCTTCACCCAGGCGACGAATGAGAGCACTGCGAGGACATTGCTGAACTGTGCCGACCAGAATCCGAGCGTGTCAAACTGGTACGTCTCAATTTGCAGCGACACTGAACTGTTGCCCGATGAGGGCTGAACGGCGCCGTACTCACTGATCTCACCCGACTGCGAGGCCTCGCTGAAGATCTTGGTGATGACGTACTTGCGGTAGAAGAGAAAGAAGACCAGCGCCACTGAGATGAGAATGGTCACCAGGTCGAGGTAGTTCCAGCCGCTAATCTGCAGGTAGGGCACAAAGCCGAGCGTCTTGATCTCAATCAGCTCTTCAATGGTGTAGTGAATGATGAAGAGAATGAAGAGAAAGAAGCAGATGTAGAGGGCGATGGGCGCATCGGAGGAGTTTTCCAACAGGTTCAGCGTGCGGAACTGCCAACTGGTGAACATGCCACCGGTGGCAGGAAACTCCGCCACCAGCTTCGTCACAACGTACAGGTTTATGTTGGGATTGTAGGTGGTAAAGTCGATGATCACCGCGCGGGTTCCGCGGTCAATCCAAAGGCTGTTCTTCAGCATGGCGATTTTTTTCACTGCTCGCGTCTTGTTCAGTGTCAGGTTGACGATGTAGCCGCCATCGCCACTGTAGGTGGACAGACGGCCCCAGACGTCGTTCTTCGCAAATGACTTGATCTCCTGCCAGACGAACTCGCTGGCGTTCTTCTCGTGAATGCGCTCTCGGTCTTCGTAGATCTTCGAGTAGGTGTTGTAGCAGCTGAAGATGGCCCGCTGAAAGTCCTTGTGTATCTCACAGCTGTCATTGCGCACTCGAATCTGCCGCATGCGAGGACTGCCGAGGAGGTAGTTCTCGTAGAGGATGGAGTGCAGTGACTGCTTTGCAGTGTCATTGTTGTACCACTTGTTCCAGTAGAGGCCGTCCACCAGCGGGCCCTCAACAAACTGTCAAAATTAACAAAGTTAACGTGGTAGTCAGTTAACTTAAACATTGACTAGATTTAGACAACATTTACATTCCAGAAGTGATCCATCTGTGAGGCAGTCTTGAAGGAGACGCCACTGCTGTCGGCCTTTTCAAGAAACAGGTCACTCATGATTTTAGTTTGGTAGTACATGGTCGGATTCATCATTGAAAAGGTGACTGAAAGTTTAAGCAAAAAAAATGGTTAGTGTTAAGCAGTTGACAAAGTCTGTTCATCCACTTACTGTAGGTGATGGTCATCAAGAAGGCGCAGTAGGTGAGCAGCTCTCTGAGCGTCGTTGTGATCACCTTTGCTTTGTCTGCATTCTTCGGCAGCAGCTGCTTCGTCACCCAGAAGACGCTCAAGGAGTTCTGTAGACTGTCCCATGGTGAGGGCTTTCCGGTGATCATCGACTCCGAGGAGGAGGCATTCGAGTAGCTCTCAGGGTCGATCGGTTGCCCATTGGGCTTTACCGGATACATCGTGTTCGTGTCGTTGTGTTTGGAGCACTCACTTGCAAAGTTGCAGTGACAAAACAGAAAGCCCAGCCAAGTGGAGTGAAGGTTCAAAGCCAACTGAGTGGTCTTCACTGAACTTGACACCACTTTATACACTAAATGGAGCAATCGAGAAAATGGACCAGCCATTACCAGGTGGCTAGGCCATTAATCTTCAGAAGATATGCGACAACTGTCGTGATTTGGACTTGCAAGCGCTCAAAAATCATCAAACTGGGCCAAAAAGCAGGCTAGCTTATCAATAAGAAATGAGGATTGTTTTAGTACAGGTACTTTTTTAATAATAGATGATCTGACAATGGATCTGAAGCACTAGGTACAGACCATCAACGGGCTACCTCATTACGCTAATTAAAAGTTTTGTTTGATTTTTACTAAGCAAAGTTAAATGCAACCCCTCAGTGTACTATTACAGGATGGAATGATCCGATAAATTGAGTCAATTTTTTTAAACTGTGACTTTTTTAATTTAAAAAATAATTTTTTGAGTTATTTTGTTTACAGTTTTTGTATTTTATTTTTGAAAAGTTAGCATCAAAAGTTCTTGATTTAAAAAATCTTTAACGCATTTGACGGCTCTCGGCAAAACAAACCTGTGCGGTTTTCTGATTAGCATAATACCGAACAAACAACTAACATTTATTCTTGTTTTTATTGTGCCAACTAACAACTGAAAGTAGATGAAACTTTAACGATTGACGTCAGTGGGGGCCATTAGCGCGTATTTAGAATCCAAAAAACTATGGCTTTCATGTGACTCATTTGCGGTGGTCAGAGGAAGTTTTGTTGTGATTTAGGTGACAGACAATACTCGTGAGTGGTCGTCCTGGGAAACTATCTGTGGTAAATTTTGCAACTACTTCATTGACGTCAATTGAAGTTGGTATGTTCGAGCATTACTTAGCAGGAAAAGAGTCAGCCTGTAGAGTCTTGGCTGCTACAAGCCCTTATTAAAAAATAAGTTCCTAACTTTTTTATAGTTTATCACGTAATTGATGTCTGAGTAGCGATGGAGCATATTCGACTGTTCGGTGGTGAAAAACTGTTTTTCTTAAAAAGAGAAACCTTCTTTGATTGAAGGAAGAGAATCTGGTTGAGAAGAAAGAAGACCCCCTATGAAAAAGATGTAGCATGACATTAATGAAATTCAATATTAAAAAATCAATTCTCACCTGTGACCCATTGAGAATTATGAAAATGTAAGCAAAGTATTGACCAGTTTCAGTAATGTAGAGCATGAATACGAGCCAGCATATTCCAAAGTTTAAGACAAGCAAAAGCAAACTGAGCGACTGTTTTGCACTTTGAGGATGATGAGAAATGGAGAATGATTGACTGAAATGAGCTAAAAAACGGTTTCGCCGAATAATGGTTTTTAAAATAAAAATAAAGAAGATTATGTTGATGGAGATTGAAAGGGAAATAGGTACTGTTGAAAAAAAATTTGCGGTTATCAGTCATAAATAATTATAAAAAAAGATCATTTACCGATGATAATAAATATGTGCAGTGGGTTATTTTTAGTGGATATCCAACAACTATAGTGTAGTTTTTGTAAATTAGCTTGAACTCTTTGCATCTATTAGTAATAACTCACAAATAGTCACCAATGAAGACATCTGCCAGAGAAAGGTCTCGACTCCAAATGGTCATCACTGCAATAGCTAGTATTGACGCTGGGGCTCCATATCCGAAAACAGCATAATTGCCTTGTCTGAGATCACTGACTAGAGGGTGAGAGGTGCTCTTCAGCAAGTGGTATCCCTGAAGGAGCATAAAGCTGAAAGACGCAAGAAGAAAGAAGCTCAGCGTCAGTGAGAACGTCAGACAGACCGACTGGACTTCCTTTCGATCCATGCCAACTAGTATGACTGCATGAGTCAACAGCAGGCAAATGGCAATGTGACGGTTCAGTGTTGCCTTGTTTGCCCTTCGTCGGAACTGATCATTGGCGAGGTTGTACGACTCGATGCGGCCCAAACGAAGTGAGAGTCCAATGGAAACGACCAGACAGAGGACTGATGCGCCGCAGAAGATGTACGTCAGCAGTGACTTGATGGCGGTGTTCTCCTCACGACCAGAAACATCGAGAAGGGCAGCAAAGTTGCTTAGATGAGAACAAACGCAAACTGCAGTTGAAGGACTAGATTCCGAAGACATGTACTGACAACCAAATGTGGACCATTGCGCAGTGGAAAAGTCCCAGTAAACGCAGTGCACCACATCAAAGAGGTGGCGTGGTGTGAGGTTATGGAATCTGCACAATAGACATCATTAGATTAAACTTTCAACATTTTTTCATAACAATATTTTACCTGATCTTAACCGTAGCATTGTGTATTTTAGTTTTGTTGGCCAGTCTGATCAAATTCACAGAAATCAGATTTGTGTTGAGAATCAAACTGCTTGTTGCATTTCCTATTTTTTCGTCAAATGTTTGTTGCGCCCACGTTGACACTAAATAAAGTTCAGAGCTTTTGCTTGATTGCTGTTTTAGCAGTTGAACCTGATCACCAGAGTGAGATACTGAAGTTAGAGTATCTGAACGATTTTCTTTCACTTTAAAAACACTGCAATGAAGGTTTTTACTCGGTTCAATCTGGTACGATTCAATTGAAGCGTTGAGCTCTTCAAGAACGACCACAGCGCTTTGATCTAACATTTGCAAAAGCAGAGTTAAAGGAACGTGGTACCAGTCAAATAAGAGACTTAAATCTGTAAACCAACGGCTTTTGACCGATTTTGGCATTTCTAAGACTGGCTCGACAAAGTGATGACTTGGAAGATGGAAGTTTTGCAATAGTATAGAGTACATTGTAAGAATACTTTCATGTTCTGTAACGTTTTCAGTTGTACTACTGTTGTACGCTTGCACATTGGGTTTTTCATCTTCTAATAGCAACTTCCAAAAGTGTTTATCTTGAGCGCACCTTAATATTAAGTGATTTTTATACATTTTTATCATTTTTTTCAAGAAAAAAAATTCATTCGAAGCATCAATCATTGACCCACAATCTAGTTTTGTAATGAAAAGAACATTTTCAGTTGATAAGCGAAAAAACGGCTCAAAAAAAGAAATTGACGATACACTGATGAGGTCATCTTAAATGAAAAAATAAAATAATTTAGATTATAATGTACAAATATTAAAGTTTAAATAAACTTACTTGAATAAAAATAAATTTTTACAGGAGATAACGACTGGCGAAATTGAAGATCAAAACTTTTTTTCAATTCATATGGCCACTTGCAGCGGTTAAAAATAAAACTGACATGACCACTTTGAATTGGTTCAACATCTAAAGCATTTTGAGCAACATTGACTACTGTCAGCTTGTTAAAAACAACAGATTGTATGCGTTTAAGTGAATTAAAAGCTTGTGATTGGATGGACAATGATGAGTAGTTTCCGGTGAAACGAATTGATCGAAGGTAGTTGTGGTTGAAGGCGCCACTTGGTATGACATTTTCTAAATTTGTCATGCAAAGTTCGACATGCTGTAAATATCGGCATTTTCGAAGCGATTCAAATAGATTATTATCATATTGAGTACTAGATTGCGTAAAATCTTTGTTTCGGTAAATCAATCGTTTAAGATAACCAGAACTTGAGCCAAAAAAATCTTTTGATATAACTTTTTTAATGGATACATTTTCTAAAAGAATCGTGCTAAATTTAAGGCCTAAAAATGCATTTTCAGGCAAATACTTAAAGGAGCAGTTAAACAGATGAAGGCGTCGAAAAACAGCATGATTATTTTGAATTTGTTCAGACTGAATTCTACGCAAAGAACTGGAGAATGCGTCATAATTGGAGAAATGTGAGCAAGTAATGTCAGTGCTGTGCAATGAACAGGTGCTAATGGTAAGCACTTTTTGTGGGATGAAAATGAAAATAAAAAGTAGAATTGATAGCATGATGATAGTTTTATCGAGATACAATGAGATCAGAACAAAATGTTTACTATTCAGTAATGTTTTATCAATGGAAAGCAGTAGCACTTGCTTTGCAACACTTGTTTATACTTTGAAGTGAATCAAGATGTTCGTCTTCTAGACTTTTACCTTGAATTGCAAGTAGCAAAATGGATGACTGCTAGTGGGGGGATTTAACGCCAAATTGCCTGTGGTTTCCCAGATGTTGTCATTATCTTCCTTTCACTCGTTTCTTTAGGATCGTCTGTGCGTGTGGCCATCATTTTGAACAGTCATAGGATAGGAATAGCCAACAAAACAGAAAAGAATGGTTTGAGCTTGTAATTGGCCATTGTTTGTTTGCCGTTGATGTTCTAAAGAATTTTATTATCAGTAAAAAGATTATGCATGCGTACATTGTACAAATTTTAGCAAAATTACTACAACATTTGTACAGCAGATTAAACAATAATACACTGTGATTTTCAAAAAAAA